TGAGGACTTTCTCCACTCTCAAAATCACCTGAGAAAGCAACGAGGGAAAACTCACATAAGAGCAAACTTCAAAATACGTGCGAGGCAATTTCCTATCGATTGACTTCGTAACACATACAGTTCAAGGTCGCGATTAGATGCCAGGTCTGCATGAATTATCGCCAACGAAATACGGTAGCATTTGAAAAAGTAATGACCTCATGAACTATTTCACGAGTTCCATGAATAAGTGATTTCGTGCTACTTGGAACAGATGCCCGGCTATTTGTTTTTAATTTGAATTTTCATTTTCAGATTGGACACATCGTCCGAGTCGTTGACGATATTATCAAGAGCGATTCACAGCAAGCTTTATCGTACATTGTACGATTTCGAAAACCACCTGGATCGACCTGAATGTGATTTCTACAACACGGGTCTCTCACAGAAACTTGGACAATTGATTGGATGAACGATGATCTTCAACTTCAGTTGATATCCCATTAGTAATTTAATTGTTATCAAAGTGCCAATGGTTATACTTTCGAGTAATTTTCCGTCACCTTTCTCTCGTTTTCTTCTCTCACTATTCAAAAATTACTTTCTCTTAATAAAATAAAATAATAATACGAAATCCTTTTTTTCTGGAAATGTTTTGGCGACGATGTATACGCTCCACATCTCGAAGATGGGGAAGGCGTGGCATACCTCTTGTGTGTGTGGCAGTGGTTGGGTCCAAGACTTCGGTTACGGGGCTGTTGTCAACCAGACGTGCTCTCGCTGCGAGGGTCCAGGGTTATTTTCACGAGGCATCTACCAGTCCAGTAGTTGAAGGGAGAAGGTAAAGGAGGAGGGATCAGAGAAGGAAGGAAGGAAAAGAAGGAGGGAGGAAGAAAAAAGGAAAGAGAGGAGAGGCTTCTCGGTTGACAAGTGCCCTGAGACGCGAAATTCATGAGGGAACAAGGCATCTGTCAACAAGACGAAAAGTAGAGGGAGGCTTCGCGGTTGACAAGGGTCCAGATACGCTCGAGCTTCTCTGTGGCTGTGCTAGCGAAACCCTATAAAGCAGGTTAAAAGAGGACAACGGCTGCCAAAGCATCGAAAGGTGCGAGAAACATGTATCGAGCCAGGAAATGGGATTTAATAAGGGGAGGCTACTCTGGGGACGGGCGGAAAGCTGCGTCTGAGGTTATGGAATGTCATTTACATGGGAGAGTGAGGACAAAAACATAGCGCAGAAACGAGTAGTTCGTGATCTTGCTGTCATCCCTTCTCTGTCCAAAACAACACAGGCTAACAGCTGTTTCAAATGGAAATATTCCGCGACAAACGCATCTCTTGCCATGTTCGATTTGGGCAAGCGGCCACGCCCCCTCTATCTTGGCGATATGGGGTGTGGATGGCTGCGCATGCTACGAGAAAAATGCTCAATTGGCTTAGTGGTTCGGAAGTGGTTTCTGTATCATTCGTTCGTGTAAGACCTTCCCAGCAACTGCTGTCAGTTACCCTTCTCAACGACCGGTGAGAGGCGGGCTGACAGCGCGCCACACGCAGCCGGGCTCACACGCCCCCTTCATTTTCGCAGCGAACAAGGCTGTAGTTCCAACATCGGTCTTCTGGGAACCAGGGTATCCGTGAAGTACGTTTTTTCCACTTATACCGTGATCTTCAGTGAGCTAACTGAATACGCAAAGCTGGTGAAACCGTGGAAATGGTTCCTTGCTGAAAGGCTTTCTTATTTGGCATTTCGGTGATGTGGGGCGTTGACCGTAAGCTCGACTCTATAGGTGACGATCCGCTCGAAACCTTGCCCAACAAAGCGGTTCCACCGATAACAAGTCTAGTTAGAATAAAAGGGTAAAAATTACTAGGTTTAGGGTCCGTTAACTCAAGTTACTCAACTACTCCAAGTGATGGTTAAGGAAAACTGTTTTTCTGGAGGGTATCGATCCAAAGTGGAGGTTTTCTTTACTACCACTTCCTATTTCCCATGGTTTCATGGGGTTTCCATGACAACCGAGACTAGCCCACTTAAACGATATCCTAATCACTGATAATGCCAAGCACGAAAGTCGATGAAGACAATTTCAAAAACAGCTTACACTCAGAGCAGGTACAGCCGCAACTGCTATGACAACTGCCCGTTTGAACTTTAAACAACACCGTCGAAGATTAAAAAAAATACTTTATCCCCTTGAACAACGTAACAAGAACACTATTCTGCTAATTTACTCATAAACCCACGAGTTGATGAATGGGCTTTCATAGTCATTGATCTCCTCAGGCTTGAACCAGTGAGCGATTTCTCGTTGAGCCGATTCGATTGAGTCAGATCCGTGACAGATATTGCGACCCGTCTGGATGCAGTAATCACCTCGGATTGTTCCTGGCGCTGATGCCAATGGGTTGGTGGCTCCAAGCATGGCACGTCCCTGCTTGACAACGTCCAAACCTTGCCAGACCATTGCCACAACTGGTCCTGATCCCATGTACTTAATCAGATGTGGGAAGAACGGCTTGTCCTTGAGCTCTTGGTAGTGGACCTGGACAAGAACTTAAATAATCTCGATGTAGGTAATGAAATTTCATGCAAAAAATAACCTCGAGATGTTCCTTGGATGCAGTCATCATTTTAAGGGCGACAAGCTTGTAACCACGTTCCTCGAATCGTTGGATGATTTTTCCAACCAGATTCCTAAAAAAATAGCCGAAATTGTACAATAAGCAGGCGCCCACCTTTCCTCACTAACCTGTGGACTCCATCGGGCTTGACGGCAATAAAGGTCCTCTCGTTGTTGGGCATGGTTGGGCAGGAGTCCTTGTCACAAGTGTCACCACAAAGAACAGCAGTTGCCGATCCAAGCAGGAGAAGTAGTGAGGACGGCCCCATGTCACAGTGGGCGGAACGTTCTCGACCGTATCCAGTTCAACGGGATCCCGGCGGGACCAGCTTACCCCGAAACTTGGCGCGACGCCAACTTACACAATCAGCTGCTATCGACATTCTTTTGTCGGTAATGTGACTCAGACGTTTGTCTTTGATTGTCGTTTCTGATTTTGGTGTATTTTATAGGATATTTGGTTCTGGAGGAGTTTTTTTTGTTGTTTTTGCATGTTCCATGGCAGTTTCGTCATACAGTTGCTTGTGACTTTTGAAAAAAAATTATGGCTACTCCGTGGATTTTAAGGCCTGTGTTTAGCTGCAGTATTAGCTCCTATTCGCATTCCTCAGCTAGGAAAACCTTGTTAACTGCTTATGAGGATTCTTTGTTTTGGCAAAACTTACTGCATTACGGTGTTTACGAATCATGTAGTTCCGAAAACACCCTTTTATTCATAATTCTTAATCATTTGAAGATCCTTTCTCACATTGTCAGCGTAAAATTCTCGAATTAAATTCTGTAGTTACCTAATAAGATCATGGGGTTCCTGAGCTCCACTGTTTAACAAATTTCTTTGCGTATTGTTCATAAGACGCTCTTCTATTCTTCCCTTCCTCAGGTCTACAGAAATGTGCGTTACATTTACATCCAGTAGTTTAGTTTTTTGTTGTTCTTGGCGTACAGTTCGCGAGAGTGTTCAGAGTGTTCTAGCAACTGTAACTCATGAGCAGGGTATGTCGCACTGTGGGGCCCAGCGAGGGAGGTCCGCACTTGGTTGATGGACGCAGAGGGGGTTTTAGTTGTCTGGATGAAGATGTTTTCGCTTGCTAGTTTTTCTTGGTTCTACCTCTTCAATTGCGCTATAATCCCTTCTCCGTCCCCGCGCGATTGCATTTTCTTTTGGGGAGGGGGGGGGGGCTGGAACAACTGGAAAATGAGGAAAGTGGTAATGGTTCGGAAGTGTTTAGGGACATGTTAGGCACGATGAGGGATAGGGAGGGGTTAGGGTTGGGTGGGGAAAATCCAGGGGTCGTATTTTGCAAAATTTACCCCCAACGGCTGGACGTGCCCTACTCATGAGGTAGCTCTTATCTTAGTTAGAATGAATTGTTGTATACGTTCGTGAATGATCAACTTCCTCTTTAAATCATAACTTCGAGCATATCTGGGTACAGGAAGATCCATTCTAGTGTTTATCTCAAAGACAGCAGTGCCTTCTTCTTGTCATCCCACCCCTAGCCTGTTACCTGAAGGCGACGAAGCTACCTGAGTATTAAAACCAGAATAAGTTCGTCGAATGTTAACCTATGTTCTGGTCGTCAATTTGACCATTCTGACTGAAATCCTTCAATGGAGGATTTATTGGTGTGCGCCAGTTTGTTACCGAAACTTGTAAGAGGTATGACAAGCCCTATGGCTTCGTCGATGGGAATGCTCGGGTCAGAATCGTATTCAGTAGTTTGGAGCATTGTGACCTAAATCTCGTCCTTTTCGCGTATCAAATGACCCATGTCGTGGAATAATGAGGCGGGGGCTTCAGGTGACGAAGCTAGACTCCGTGGATGGGCAAGAGCGCCATTCTATGTGCGACATTTGCAGTAGGCGCTTACCGCCACAAAGGGGCGTGGGCAGTCATAATTCACAGGTGACTGAGACCCTCACAATTAATTCTCCTCACAGCAATTGTCTGTTGTTGTGAAGCTCCTTACTACATATATCTTAAGCGCATCTCACTATACGCAGACACATATCACTGGACTTATCGGCGAGCAGTTCCTTGAGTTAACATGAATTCGGCCGAGAATCGGTTTTTTGCGATGACTCTGTCCTACCCATGATTTTAACGAGCACTAATGAATGAATTGCAAAGTTATGTCCGCGTACTTCCTACAGAGGAACATGTGGACATGGTTATGCGAATAAGTACAGAATGGCAGCTGCCTCAAATTGAGATCCCCTTAGGAAACATCAGAATGGCAGCTGCCTCAAATTGAGATCCCCTTAGGAAACACATCCTATGCCACGTTCAGATGAACTGCGCAGCCCCTCCCCATCGCCGTATGAATGGAGTGCAATCTTCAACTATTATTGAGAGGGTTTCCCAGTGTCTTATCTTCTTGATGGTTACCTGAAAGCACCCGAGAAAAGTTACTGTGATAACGATGATGTCATCTTGATACGATCATGCAGGGAAAGCGCTAAAAAGCACGTAAAGTTTGCTGCCCTGTCAGGCCACATGTCTCACTATTCATCTCGAGACCTGAAAAAACGGCATTTCGTTCGTCACGTGGCAGTTCCTTGAGAGGTGCCTGTATGACTTGCCATGTACAGTTGTCTATCTCGTAAACCAGTATGAATATTACTCTATTTCTCATCCTTTCTCATCTTTGAACCCTTTGTTCTCACTTCCTAAGGATATGCCGTGTTTTAATCACCAGCGATTATAATGGTCTTTGTGGTTTTTATGCGAGGCACAAAATGTCACAGTGTCAACTTTGGGGTCGTTCCGCCTAACCAACCTGTTTCAGTGTTTACACACCCCCGCTTCTGCCCAAGTCACCACATTGATCGCATTTGTGCTGTATGGGATCTTCTGAACCGGATCTGTAAGTGGTTAATTCATTGCCGATAACATTTTCTACTCACGTGTTCAGAGTCATTTTTCTTTTGTTTTTTTTTCTTGTATACAGTTTTATCTCTGAATTCGCTTCCTTTCAAACCAATTCTCCCTCTTTTTCAAACTAAACTCATCGCTTGCCAAATCAAATCGCCGCTTTTCAAATCGAACCCGCTACACTTTCGCACAGGACCGTTAGCAAAGCGCGCTAGACAGCACCTCACCACGTATGCGGCTCCGCCCATTTTTCGAGAACTCGCGTCAAAGTTCTGATCAAAAAAGTGAAAACTTTGCGTGGTATGTATTGTTCCGAGCGGCGACTCTGATTTTCTAAATGAGACTGCCCTTCTCATTTGAGGCACTTGTTAAAAGTGCGCGGAGCACCTCACAGTGAGCCAGGTTACCTTTTCCAGCCTAAAAAGGCGAGAAATTTGAAAGGTGACCAGCTTTCGTTGACTCCTCCCATTTTTGTTTATGGCGGATTCGGAATTCTCATAAACTTTTTTCAACGCCGTTGTTTTTACACCCACTCTTCATACATCGAATAAATTTGTGGGAAAGCATATGCACATTGACACCCCAATGTCCACCCCTTTCCACACCTAATTTAGCGACTTTGCAAAATTTTGGTCATCTCTCGAACTACATTAGCACTTTTGAGCTGCAACAGGTAGTTCTCACCACTATGAGGTGCCCGCCCACGTCGCGTCACCCCGCGCAGTTTTAATAAGTGCCTCAAATGAGGAGGACGGAGTCTCATTTAGTGGTTCAGAGTCGCCTTTGTCGCTCGGAATAAGAATCCGGACGAGCTTTATACTTTTTATTTGGA